TTGCAATGTTCCTATACATCTTAGGTGTGAAATCCTTATTGATCAATAGTCGAAAAACTATAGCACTCAGAGACAGAGACTTTCAGAGGCTCACCTCAACATAATATTTAGTAGTAGTTTGTAAAAGTCATTATCTGCTATAAACAAACACACCGTGCTTTCATTTGTTATTGGCTATGATACGTTCTAATACATTGAACGTGATGGCTGAGCTATCTCTCTTAAACTTCTTCATTAAGTTCAAGCCGATTGCAATGAAGAAAATTGACAACCTCATTAAGAACAAAATTTCTTGGTCCCAACATGACAAGGGAAGGCTAATTTGATCGTTAGAGTACATGTCAAAACTTAATCGGGTCCATAATTGGATTGTGGTGACTATGAATTGAAAAGATGGATCAACTTAATTTGGCTTTTCATTTCCCAATCTTTTCTTGTTTTTTTTTTTTTAATGGATTAAAATTAACAAGAAAGTTTTCACTGGAGAGCGTCTTGCATGTGTGAGCCATTTTGTGATAGAGTTCAATGCATATGTAGTATAAGGTCCCATTCACAGCTCATATTGTGTTACTCGATGAGGTAAAGGTGTGGGAATAAGCTAGACTTTCGTAGTTGCTTTCCTCACCAACCACAAGGGGAACGTACTAAATTGTCAAAAAGTTCTAAAGAAGGAACAAACTTTTCCATATGCTTATTTGTTCAAATATATCATTATGCTTCTAAGCCATGAACCATCATTTTCGGCCTTCCACGTTTAATCCTGCCTGCTAAATAAGGGAAAGGAAGAACCAAAAGCAACCATTATGCAAATCAACTCCATTTGCATTTAACCAATGGTGGAGCGAGGGATGGGTTAATTAGGCAGAGTGATCGCCCCCATCAAATTTATATAACCCTTTAATAATTGTGAGTATTATTGTATTGTTTTTTGTCATATAAACAGTTATAGTCCCCCTTTAAATTCTTAGAAATCTTTTTTTTTCCTTTTTCTTGATAAACACATATATCTTTCATAGGAGTCGATTTTGTTCGGGACGAGTTCAGGATTAAGACTTTAAATCCTATCAAAGACGATATTGGAGAGGATCGAATACATGCCCTCACCTTTATCTGCTCAGCTCTCATGTACTAATTGAGCTACCATCATTTGGTAATTCTTAAAAATATTTAATTGGGAACACCAGTCTTGATTTTTTGGTTAGATAAATAATTATAACTTACAAGGAATATTATACTTATAAAGTTCGCCCACTTCTCAAAATTTGCTGCCTCCACCGTAACCAAGCCAGTTGCTAATAAACTAGGCGGATGATATCATCTACATTACTTTTTAAAAATAAAGGAGGCAAATCTTCCTTTTTGGGTTGGGTATGTTTCTATCAAAGATCTCAATAATGGGTGGCAAAAGCACCGATCCATTGTTATCATAATTCCATTAAATATATATTTAATTTCTGAACTTTGATTTGGAAAAGGACAAATAAGAAGAATTTTATAAAATATGCCACATGTCAACATGTATGTTTCAAGCATACCCCCGGTCTTCTCCATCCTCGCAATTTTTTTTTTTTTTTTGTGTGTATCGTGTTAAGAAAATAAGGGAACGTTTGGTACATGAGATATTTTTTTTTACCGGGGAAAAAATATATATGGGAATATGGTGGGTATAAAAATTCACCTGGAATGTTAAAAAAAAGTGTTTGGTAGACAAAAATATTACCGGAAATATTAATTAATTTTACCGAAGATGTGTTTGGTTGATGACAAAATATTGCTGGGAAAAAAGATAGTGTTTACGAAACTACCCTTGTAATTGCACAAGAGTAAAAAAATAAAAAATCATCAGTGCCCAATGAATGTAAAATGGAGGGTAATTTAGACCGAAAATATGTAAAATGGATTCCAACGCCGCAGGGAAAAATAAATACCACATCCAAAAATGGATTCTGAAATCTCGTTCGCTAGTGTTAAATGAATTCCAAGGAAAAAAAAATCCCCAGACATTTTCTATCAAACATGAGAATAAAAACTTCTCACGTCCACTTTCCAAGGCATCCTAAATATTACCATATACCAAACAGCTCCTAAAGGTCACAAGAAAATCCTAGGAATTATTGATGTTTGTTAACATATTTTCACCAATCAAATTTAAATGCAGCTACCCATCAATTTTTGTCTATATTGATTGTGAAAAAAGAAAATTCCATAAATGGAATCACTCCAAAAGCTTCGTTCAAATGCATTAGGTATTTCTCGATCTTCTCCCTTTTAGTGGATATAGGTAAGGTTTGTCTTATCCACATGTATTTTCAAAGGTGAGAAGCCACTCTTGTCTATTATTTTCTCAACAAATACTCTATCTATCAGCTTCCTTGTGTATAGACATCAAACTACCGATAAGATATATATCAAGGTTAATCAGTGAGTTGTGGGAGACAATGAAAGATTATGGCATTAGACTCAAGCTCTTGAATTTTAGTGGCTCATATCCAATCAAACTGAACATTTCGAAACGCAGAAAATAATGTATTGCTGGTCCCACATTCCATTATCTCTTAGTTAAGGTGGAAAGAAGAGACTAACAAATTATCCAAGGGTTAATTAGAGATTTCAGAGTTAGAGATCTAGTAATGATATGTCACCTTCTTTTAGAGGCAGAAAGATCTTAGAAATCTGTTGGGGGAACATGGGAAATTAAAATCAATCTTCATCTGAAGATTCACTTTCCCTATTTTGATTTTTCTTTCTTCGGTTCATGTCATTGAAGCTAATTATTAACAATTTTAGGAAATAGGGGACACAATTAGTTGCTTTTCCAATAACGTGGATGCAACCAGCTATTTGGGAATTAACAATATTAGATAAGGTGTTTCCTGAAATGGTATCATAACATATAGGGAAAAAAATAACACAAGAATAAATTCCCAAATATGTGATTGATAAATTTAGTAATGAATATAATAGTTTCTAAAATGCAAAATATACCTTAATTTCTGATAATTGCAAATTTTACCATGTTAAATGTTAATTCTTTGGCGGTGGACACATTAATTAATATAAAGAATTAAAATGGCTGATTTTTTTATTCTTACGGACAAAGTTGAAGTTTTTATATTTTCAAGAATTAGTATATTCGCTGTCAAATTTCTCACAGACAAATTTAGAAGTTTACCAAAAACATAAACATATTCACAAACCCTTTGACATTATTTAAACCTCTCAATTACTAGATTTAAATTTTTTAATCACTTGAGTCATATTTATTAGAGTGAAAATTATGTTACTTAACCTATATAAGAATCTTTACCATAAAACTTGTCTTTAAATACACCTTATATATATAAATAGATAAATTAGAATATCCAAAAAAAAATAGATAAATTAGTTTCATGATTATTATGGTTATAAAATACAACTACTAGATTTATGCCTCTAATCCAATGTTATCAAAATCGAGTTTCTACGTAAAAACGAAAGGAGATAGTAAAAAGTAAATCGTATAAACGACACAAAACATAAAAATTTTACTACTTAAGGTAGGTAAAGATACAAAATTATATATATATATATATATATATATATATATATATATATATATATATATATATATATATATATATACTATCTCATAAGTCATTATCCAAAATTCAATGAATAACTTCATATGTAAAAGATATAAGTCACATACCTATATAAGATACAAGTTAAAAAACACAAAAATAGTTTAACAACTTCTACAACCAAGTTCCAAAATATCAAAATAATAAAGTTTAATAACTCTTAAATTATGTCAATTGATTCAAATCAAACACATCATCTTGCACCAGTTGTGTGTCCTCAATGTCATATTCTCTTGCTCCTATAACAAGTTTATTTGTAATAAAACGTAATAGATTGATTCAAAACCCACCTTAGCTTGATACTCAAACTTTTTACCAGTGGCTTCACCTTTTTCTTTCTCAGCAACAACGACCTCGCACGATGGTTCTTTTTTTTTTCATTGTGCAATTTGATTTAGGGGAATGGAAATGGTTTTTTTTTTTAATGAATCATGGATTAAAAGTTGACCCGGTTCAGTTTTTTCTTTTTTGTTAAAACCCGATTTAGTTTTTTATTTAAGTAAAAACGTAAAAATTTATTCTTCTACCATTTTTATGATTTTACACGATGTTTTTATCAATTTTTACTGATAAGAGTCTTTACTTGTATTTTAACATATATCACTTCAGTAAAAACCTAAAAACATAAATTTTCAGGTTTTTACACTAATTTTTAACAATCCTCTAATCAATAATTGATCTAGAGATATAGATTATGTGAGCACGGGATTTTCCTCGGTACTTTGAAGCTAAAAGTATTGTAAGTCTTAAGTATTTATACTAGTCTCAAATGGCATGATATTTTCACATTAATTGTACTTTACATGCCCTACCTGGCTACACACATTTTTTTTTTTTTTTGGCTTCCATGTAGTGGGAAAAAATTAACTGCCTTGTACAAAAATTATAATAAAAATTAGGCTTCAACACTGGCTGGCAAACTTCAACAAGATCCAATACATGTCAGATTGAGTCACCCTCCCGAATCCAAAATGTTCATCATGCTCCAAATATATATATTTATATAATGGTAGTTATTTGTCCAATAAATGTACTGTCTAAATCTTCGAATATGAACTAGTTTTATTAACTAAAATTCTTATAGAGATTTTTATTTCCTGTCCCTCACATAAAAAGTTAGAACATATAAATGGAGATGGGACATGCACACGATTTGAACGACAGTGAAGAAAAGTAAAAAGAAGTTAGTGTTTGTGGTCAAAAGAGCCAATGCATGCAATGTGTGCCAAGTGAAATCAATTGTTTGAGATAAAAATAAAATAAAATAAAATAAACAAATAAATGTGAAAAATGTACAAGATTTGAATCTAAAGTAGCAGCCATATATTACTTGAATCTAGAGATGCTACATCATCATATACACTCACTTTTAAACGGAACCGATCAAAACCATCATGGCGGGGCCAGGCTAAGGTGCAAATCCAAGCCAAACCCATCATCAAAACTGGGCCCCACATCTACTTTGGAGAATCGACCCAATGAAGGCCCATCAACCCTCCCGTACTGGGCCCGGGCCTGTACTTGCGAGCCCATAGTTGACAATGCAGGTGAGGAATCCCCTACCCCGCCAACGTACGGTAACACCCCTGCACCCGCGGATCTCGCACCCGTTATAATGCTGTAGTTACCACCGCCGTTACAGTTACCGATGCCGTTATTGTTGTTCGCCGACGGGAACACACAACCGTGTGAAACCGACACGTGGAAGGGAGGAGGCGCAGCACGTGGCGGCATGTAGACCCACGACGGCGCGGACGCCGGCACAACCACTTGTCCCGGAGGACTGAGGAGATGCGGCGGCGGGGCGAAAGCGGAGATGATGGGGTTCCGAACGAACGAAACGGCGGCGTTTCTTGAGGCCTGTAACTGCGCGCGCTTTAGCTGTTGGCGCTCTTTCTTGTGCGCGTTCTGGTGCCCACCAAGTGCTTGTGAGTTTGCGAACTCTCGGTAACAGTACTGGCACTCGTATTTCCGGTCGCCGGATGAAGGGGGAAATCCGACGGCGCCACCATCTCCGGCGCCGGAGTCCGGCGAATCGGAGGAGGAAGTGGGCTTGGCGATTGAGTCAGAGGCGTCTTCAAGCGCTGCTTCTTCGTCCATGTCTTCGTGGACGCTGAAGCCGAAGAGCTTTAAGCACGTGGTGGAAGTTGGGTTTGTTCTTCGAGTGTGGCCGTGGATTTGATCCTCCATGGGAGTGTGGTTTTGTGTTGAAGATTGGGTAGTGGAACTGCGAGACAAGGAGATAGGAGCGTGGGAAATGGTGATGGTCTCTTGTTACTAATTAAGGTGATGTTGCATGTCTTGAGGTCTATTTATACATGGGATTTCTCAAAATAAAATAAATATATATATATATATATATATAGAGAGAGAGAGAAAATAATGCAAATATAAGTAGACAGTGTATAGAGAGAGAGAGAGACAGAGAGATAGAGTTGGAGAGAGAAGAAGGGGTTTTTTTGCGGACATCCCAATGAGAAAAAGTGTGTGAAAATATGGAACACGACCCAAGAACACCCAAAGGGGACCCAAAGGGATTGCAATTGTCTCTCTGGCAGTTTTATTTCCATTTGCCTTTTTATGTGTTTGTTAAAAAACTTCAAAATTCAAAGGTTGCTTACTTCATCTGCCTTTCAATTATTTGACTAATGAACAGTTCCGAATTAAAAGAACACAAAATGAGGAGAGGGCAGAAATCAATATAATATATCATTTATATGAATGTTATTATTATTATTATTATTATTGTTGTTGTGATTATTGTAATAAAATCAAGACGAGGATTGAGAATGTGATGCATGTGATGGGAGTATGGGATGAGTTTAAATTCCTATATATAAAATGATTGGCTTTGGATCAGAGCCCTATAACATTCTTTTTTATGCTTCACACAGTTCTTTCTCATATACGTACAAGCCACTAGTACATAAACTAAGCACTTGTGTATTATGCAAGTAGCTGGTTTTAGGGGAAACTCTCAAAGTCTCAACCAATTAATTAATTAACTTAGTTTGATGGGATATTATATATATAGCAGCATCAAAGCCATTAAATCAGCGGACTAATTAACTCATTCACAATTTAATAGTCAATTGGACCCATCCCTTTGTTTATCATCCCAACCTATTAAAGACCGTTTAATTTGAATGTCCAACCAACAATTACTAAGCAAGAGATATTGGAGACTCAATTAATGTAATTAGGTTAGAAAAGTATACATAAATGTTTCTGTGGCACTTGCGTGCTTTGCTCTTTTTGATGCATTTGAACTTAGTATAAGGTGGCCAATCAGAAGCTTGCCAGAATTGTTTGATCAACTAATGAGCATTTGCCAAAGCAAGAATCTAACCCTACTCCTCGGCGCATACGTGTTCGACCCACTTCATTTAAGACGCGTGCATATACTTTTTTGAAGATAACATTCATTTAAAGTGAATTAATTTTTATAAAATATACTTAATTTATTTTTTAAAGTATATTATGATCTTAATTTATTAAAATTTAGAAATTTATTTTTTAAAGTATATTATGATCTTAATTTATTAAAATTTAGAAATAATATATATATATTCTTATATATTTTAGAAACAAATTCATTTATTTTTATAAGAATTTTTTCATCCCCCTGAATTGTTCTGTAAAAATTGATGCTATTATTTTTTATTGATGATGGAACGAAACCCAATGAACCAACGGGAAGCCCATGCCTCTGTTCTTCCAACTACTCCAGCTTCTGATACAAAGAATTCTAGAGCAATTAATTGAATTTGCATGCCCCAAAATTAGATATTGAACTTGCACCCAATGTCACTTGTTTATTCAATTTCTTTTCTATTTTTAGGTTCTTTCTCTCTTATTGCAAACATCAATTTTGGCTTGGCTAAATTTTAGAAGCCGACACCCTTGGACCCCACTCTCTATCTCTCTCTAGAAAAAGTCAAAGCAGCCCACCAAGAGGGAAATGGAGAGAGAGAGAGAGAGAGGAGCTTTCATAGTATGATAGCATCCAAGATCCTAAACTATGAGATATATAACACTGTGATCTAACACCTTCAGTCCCACTAATCACTGCTACATGGCCCACGTGTCAACATCATATTCACCCTGCATATCTCATTCTAGATACTCATGTTTCACATTACTCCAACCTCTTCTCCCACACAAGTCACCGCTTGCCATGATGGCAATTTCGTGAATAAAGTCAACACAAGAAGTTCAGGAGGAGTTTATAGCTTATGTTAAATTTGCTAATATATATATATATATATATATATATATATATATATATATGTGAAAACGAAGTGGTCACCATTAGTTATTAGACACTTCACAGTTGGCTTGTTTGAAAGGGCATTTTAGTGTTATGACATGAGGGATAATATAGAATTGAATATAATAACGTTCAGGTGTGTGTTTATTACAAAACTTAGGGTTTGGGTCCCCACCATTACGTGTTGATGATGATGAATAATTGTTTAGGATGTTTGCGTGATTGACGTTGAAATTTATATTTGTATATTGGTTTTCTTTCTTTGGGAGAGATCTGTGCGAATCTTACTAACTACGAGAGAGAAAGAGAGTGAGAATGAGTGCTTTTTTTGGGCTTGTAATCTCCCACTTAAAAAGCATAATAATCATAATCATAATGGCTTATAGAAATATATTTTTAAAGAAAAAGGAAAAAAGTTCCCTTCAATTCTAAAGTCTTCATCACAACTCCTAATGTGACCCCACCTTGTCCTCTCTTTCGCATATGTGTTATCTATTCAAAGCCCTCTTAATTAGTCAAATTTTCCCATGTAAGAAAAAAAATATCTATGTGAATCCCCATGATGTGGATCATATTTGCAGTGAAAGTTTATATTCTTTTTCCACCGTTAGATTTGATAATTAGCCATCATTAGCATAATCTCCAAGTGACCCATCTAATCAATTTAAGTGGCTACATTTGTAGTTATGTACTATGTCGACATGATAAATGAAAGATCAAGCTATTTAATCATGAGTACACCCAACCGTTAACATGTATAAGTTTTTGGGGCTTCCTTTATCTTAATTTGTTAATTCATCTTTTCATATTTTTTGAGAAAAAATATTTAACCTTGGTTTCTGCTTTTTTATTTCCTGCTTGAGTGAACTTTTAAAATTCCTTGTCAATTTATGTAAACACGATGCATGAAAGAATGGCTATAAAGGTCATTTCATTAATCTTTTCAGGTGGGTCCCAAGTGATGAAGTCGAATAGAATATGGGGTCCAATGAGGCACTAAATCATAATAATGCATATAGATTTGTGACTCACATTAGGATCCCCATTAATGAGTTTAGAAGAAAAAAAAAAGGATTGAATGTACTGCTAAACCTAACAACCTTTTTGCTTTATTATGTGGATCCAATGATTTTTCTCTTTGGGTCCTTTCTCAGTAGTCTTAGCCTCCTGGGAAGGTGAAGGTTAGGAAAACCAGGGTTGGGCCACTTTAATTAGTACCACTATGGGGCTCAAGAAGTCAGTCACACACTCACACAGAAGAAAACATGTACACTGAATTGACAATCTCTTATAAATGTGTGTAGACATAAAGGTTAAAAGGAGTTCACGTAGAGAGACCAGTACTTATTGTTGGGACCAGTGGTGGCCAAACAAACGCTTGTACCATTTTTTGGCTTCATCCGTTGTGTTACTTTTTCTTCCATAAATGGCCTTTTCGAAATATGTTATAAATGCTCCACTTCTCTTTAATTTCCTTGGTTGGGTTGTTTGACAATGGGAATTAATTTCTATGTCTTATTCTGTCCATATGGTTCAACAACATTGGCAGTCCAAACTACTATTTGTAACTGATTCATGCATCCACTTAAATTGTGTGACATTGTCTTCCCCTGGATTCACTTCAATTAAATTGCCATATAGAGTAGGTAGGCTATATAGTTAAGATTTTATGATTTTTAGTCACTCCCAAACATGGTATGGTAGTTTAGGCTATGCCTATATAAGTTGAAATTGAACCCTTCTTCCTGTCTTTAGCAAAGTATAAACAAAAACAGGTTAAAGACAAATAGCATGCATTGATTAAAGACAGGTTATAAGTTGAAATTCTCATGTGAAAGGGTGTATAAAAAAGGGGGATGGAGAAGAAAGAAAAAAAAGTGTCTTTAAGAGAGAAAGAGGTAAAAAGGAAGTGGGAAAAATAGGACGACAGGAGAAGTGGGTTATGAGCTAGGAATAGTTTGAAAATGGTTAGACATGAACTCAAGGTTTTCTCCACTGATGTAGGGTGATAACACATGGGAAGGTACATCTGATTGGTTCCACACTGTTTGAACAAACATAGGTAGGTCCCACCCACATTGGGACCACATGTGCAAGTTTTGTAGCACTTGCCCCACATGAACACTTAACTCTTGGCGCTTGAATATAAGTTGGGATGGTGAGAGAATTGTCCAATCATACTTTACAAGTCTTGTTGATTCATAAACAACTGTCTTCTAGAATAGTAAATTTCTGTTTCTTTATTTCCCCTTTTCTTTATATATATATATATATATATATATATATATATATATATATATATATAGTAAAATCATTTCTGTAACCGCTGTATTTTTTCCTCTGCCTCCGGTTGTCGTGCAATCCCCTCTACAGCTTGCCCTGCAGCAATGCCTTTACGTACATCAACGACTGTATGGTTATGATTTCTTACATTTAATGCTTTCATCCTTTGTATGATTATGAATGCGAGAAATTTAATGCTTTCAAATATATATATGACAAGTATTTGGTTGCTGTACGTAAAGGTGGCAAAGCGGGCTGCCCGCCCCGCCCCGTCTTCAAAGATGGGCTAGATATCTCAGCCCACCCCGCTCCGTTTGGGCGGGCGGGACAGGCTGCCCGCCAAGCCCGTGACATTTTACATTAAAAATTTAAAAAAAAAAAAAAAAACAGCCCGGGCAGGCTGGCGAACTTGGCGGGACGGGCTTGGCGGGCGGGACGGGCCAGCCCGGCGGACTCAGCCCATTTTGCCAGCTCTAGTTGTACGTATAGTAGCTGTAGAAATATAAATTCATATATATATATACATATATTAAACTTGCTGTATTCGTTTCCACCATCAATTTGAGAAAATTCACTTTTGAAGAGCATTAATCATGCTTTCTTTTGTTGTTGATAGAAGTGATGCCGATATTATCATTTAAGATCGCCCAAATCGTGATTATGGCCCACCAAGTTGTGCTTATCAAGGAGAATTAGCCAATAAGACATTAAAACACAATATTTAATTAGTGATTATTAAGAGACATGATCCTATCATATTAGAA